TCAAACAAACTCTCATACAAGAATTGTCATTTGTACAGGTAAAAATTTCTTATAAAATAACTTTCTGGCAACATATCAATATTAGAATTGAAAAGTTCATTTTAGAATGTTTCACTTGGAGACTTCACAATCACATTTCTTAATTATTTTCTCTAAGTCATATTATACTACAAAACAACTTACAAATTCTGGACAATACTGACAAAATAAGTAAAAAAGTTATAACTAATGATCTGCAAGCTACCAACAATGTTCCTGCACTAAACACTATAGCTATAGTAAGTCCAGTAAATGCAATATGTGTATCAGTGGACATCAACCTTGAGTTGACATTTTCTGACTCACAGCTTCTACTCGATTTTTCATGTGCTGAAGTATATCTTCTGCTAATTCCTCAACACTGGTATAACGTGACTTCTGAAAGCTGAAAATGTCAGCAAGGAAAGCCATCATTTGATCCTGTAAATGAAATCAGAAATCCATAAAACAGATAAAACAATACTCTAAAATGCTTCTACAAAATGCAAACTCTAAGCTAATGAAAGGAAATTCATAAAAATTCTCCTAATAAAAAGTATTGTCTCTTATTAGGAAAAAATGGTTTTCTATCATTTTACTCCACAAATTTAGCTTACAACTAACTTTCAAACTCATTCTTCTATTAACATAAAACAAAAGCATAATATGTAGGAGTGATAAACAATAACATTTTTGTATTAAAAAATTTTAGAAAGGCACTTTTGCTTTATTTTACAAAAACATTAATATTAACTGATGTTATATAATTAACGGTTATTCTTGTGCAATATCTACACCATTTATAATGCAAAATTGACATGCACATTTGTACAAAATGTTTTATATTGATATAATTGTAATTTTAAGAAAATTAATTAATTTTTTAGTTAATTATGGGAATTAACTAGATATGGCTAAATAACATCTTGTAATATTTTCTTTAACATTTAATTAACATTTTTTAAGAACTTCCATATGTAATAATGGGTAAAAATATTTATTTATTATTTTTGATACTATTATATATTATTATTATTTTTGAGTTTATAAATGGTTTTTCATCAAAAAGTCATTTTTGGAAATGAATTTTCTGAACTCACATGATAACTTTTTAACTTTTTATTAATACTGATCTTAATATTTTCTATGCATTAAGAAAATTACAACAACAAAAAAAAATGTTGACTTGGTATAAGGATGACAATTTCAAGAATAGGGGTACTTTAAAAACCCGTTTCAGAGTGACAGAATTTACAGAACACTCTTTATAATTTTGAAGTAAAGAGTACAAAACGTGTAAGAGACGCATTCCGTATCAAATTGGTAGGTTATTCCCCATTTGGAAGCCAACATATATTCTTTCTTTAAAACAAATGTTCTAGTCATTATCAAACAATGAAATTACAAATACAGACTTGAAAACAACTTTATTAATTAACAATTTCTTCTTAAGAACAATGAATAATATTAATTTATCACACCAAATTCTAAATGAGAGAAACTTTGATTCAAATCTAATCCAAAATCATTATATTCACAAACAATTCAAAATGTTATTCTGAACTTCCTTGTAGTACAAAATGAAGAATAATTCAATAAGCAAGTTGTTCCTTCACAATTTTTAATAACATTCATTTTTCAAACATCTTTTTTTTTAATATATTACAACACATGGCATTAAAATTATTAATTAATTTATATTTTGTAATGAATCGTAGTAGTGAACATTCAAAACATTGATCTTAAAGTTACAACCATCAAAATGAATCCTTTCCAATGCGGCTCAAAAACGGTAAGTATACCTAAACCCCTAGCTTAAAAATTGTAAGGAACAGTCAATAAATTACGAAACACAAATTTGGAGTCGGCCCCGGGTTCAATTCCTGGAGAGGCAAGATTATAGTGTGTGATTTCCTTGCAATGTCCCAGTATATGTTGCAGTGTGATGAGCAAATTTACTTCTGAGGTTGAGAAGACCGGAGTACAGTGTGGGGATGTCTACATGCTAACCACATGTACCCCCTTAACCCATGGCCACAAGGCAGGGACATCGCTGGTAGGTCTCAGCCCTTTCACAGGCTGTCGCGCTAAGTACATACATACAAATCTGGAGTATTTTCAATACCCCCTCTCCCCCTTGTAAAGCACCCATAATGCGGGCTTAAAGTCCCCCTAAATAATTACATAACACTTGCGACAGCTCCCCTTGTAAATGCGAGAAGTGAAAATAAATTATAGCACAGTAAAAACAATTTGTATTTATTTTACTTGTGTGGTATATTAAAGTAATTAATGATAATTAAAGTAGAAATTAATTGGCAATGCTGGCCACCTAACAATAAGATTGGGGCAAGGCAAGAGTGAAGGAAGAATCCTTTTGCGAGAAATGGTTGATCACAAGTAACACACACTCACAACCACTCTTTTGAATGATGCAAAAGCAAGAAATTACAGCGCCAATTTCAATGGATTCTAGAATATACTTTATATAAGTTTACAACTATCACCTACAATTTACAACTAGCAACTTTGGTTTCATTATGTTTTTAAACAAATTAATTAGTTTACATTTTAATGTTTCAGTACAGGACTCAAAAAAGGAATTATTTCAGCAAATGTTGAAAAATGTAAAAAATTAATATCAATGTTATGGAGCACTTAACTAACATCTGCCTACCCCTGTGTAAAGCTGCCTCAGACCCCCTACCTCCCTCTTCAACGTTATGTAAATTAACGATTCCTAACAATAGTTTTCCATTTCAGTCTATAGCAGTGCGTTACTTCGAAACCTTATTTTTCCAGGATTATGAATTTCAGATTTGCACCACAATGATTATTAACTTACAATATCAACAAGTCTTCTATGAATGCAAATTGTGCATTATTGAAAGACAGAATGATCTCCAAAATGAAATTAGCTATTGATCACCAACAGTGTGACACCACTGAAGTATTATTGCACATGCCACACCTCAAGGGAGCAGCATTTTTCATGAAAGCATAAATGAGCAGATCAAGTATTGGATAATGTTAATCAGTAGGTTATAAATACATAAAAATTAATTCCCATTTGATTCAATATTTATTAATTGTGAATCCATTAGCAAAATACACTTACATAGTAGATGCTATCAGAAAATATTTCCCCTTTCACAACCAACATGATGGCTGGTTAAAACAGGGTAAGGGTCTTAGGGGAACTTTATTAACTTTAAAAATTTAATCACAAAACTTAAAATGGCAATAACATTTAACATTTTATGCAGTTTTGCCTAAGATTGCATTTATATGAATTTGCAAGAAATTTTGAAAACAAATGAAAAATATTCAGTTTTGCGATATTAAGAGTAAGTGAACTTACACAGGGCCATCTTATTATATGTGCTGCAAAACAATTAATTTAATTTTTACATACTTTTAGAATTTAATATTCTACACATTTCTGACCACTTGCTATAGAGTGGGGACAAGAAATCCGTAAGAGAAATCCTAAAAAATGTAACAAAATTCCAGAATGTATGTTTTTGTAGATTTTGAACTAAGAAAGGTAACTCAAGACTCCACCCCCCAAGTTTCAACATCTAATACACTTAAAATGAGAGATGAAATTCATGCGATTGAATTAAAATTAGATGTAGTGTAGGCAGAAGTGCATCATTTAATTTTTTTAACTCTATTAGGAGAAACCACCTGACCACATTGAATGTTTTTTTACCAAAACAATTAATTTTTGCGTAACTCTACATGATATGATAAATCATTTAATATTGGAGCATCTAGACTTAATATTCAAAGGGCCAAAACAATTCATACACAATAGAATGCTGTATTTTGTGCAAGTTGTAGGACTTTATAGAGCAATATTGCCACAAAAAATGGGAAATCCTTGAGTTTACTTGGGTGCAATTTCTGTTAGTTCAATGAATAAATCTTTTTCATACAAGAATTTGAATTACTGTCAAATCTTTTGAAACAATCCCTTCAATTAAGCACCATTTTCACCAATTTCATTAACCACCATTTATTTGTGGAGAAGATTGATTTTCCCATAAGGCACACCTGAATAATACCTCATGAGTGATCATCTGATCCTACAAATAAATACTTAAGTTTTCTGCATTTTTTGAATGTTTTAAAGTGTTAATGAACATTCATTTACATTATTGATCCATTTAAATCAATAATATCCATTTTTTTTTCCCATTTGAAGTCTACGAATAGTAAATTTTCACAAGGTGGTACATTAATTCATATTGATGACATTTAACCAATGAAATAATTTATTGTTACGCTTAAAATTAAGTAACAATCTCCTAACAGACTTGGAACAATTGTCATATCAAATTATGTAAATTACTTAAGTAATTAATTTCAAACAAAAAACATGGAAAATGAAAATAGATAATTCTAACTAAGTTATCAAAAGCTAATTACATTAACAATAAACATATTTTGTCAACTATCAGCTATATAATTACAGTATAATATGGCTGTAAGAGTTTTATTTATACTAGACAATATACACTGTCGTAAGTGTGGACTGTCTGGTGAACAGTGGACTGTTTGCATGTAAAGCAATATCACAACTTAGTTTTCTGTCGTTGTTGTTTTTTTGTTGTTTTTTCCAGAATTCTTGAGAATTGTGATAGCTTCAAAAAGGAAGTTAACATCAATATTGGAAAAACTTTTACATCTCTTATCAAGACAAGAACAATACAACTAACAAATGACTTGAGACTTTATATCATAATTTCCCTACTTATAATAATTCCTGCCTAAAAGAGACAAACAGCCATGTCCCTTTATATCTCCTGAGGGAGTTAAACATTTCAATAAGAAATTGCAGGCACTTCCCAAATATAGGCCTCAGTCCTAGGTTGGTACGGCTCTGATTCCACAATGGAATCCAATCTTACGTTTATTACCTTGAAATAATGGCAAACAACCCTCAAGTTTTCATCTGGTCCCAAGAGACCCCAAGCCATGAGTGGTGACATGTGTTCTGATATAGCATAAAAGTGTGACATAAATCCATTCGGAAACTTCAACATTTTTCTTTTTGCTTTGAGGACAGAATAGACAGCTGTGGACAGAGCCTGAGAAAAAAGAAAAAGAAAAAAAAATGATCAGTACCCAATAATAATATTCATTTATACACAGTAATATTCTTGACTGTTAAGTGTCTTACTGTCTCCTTAAATCCATTTGAGAGCCAACGGTTTTGAACTACTGCGGTCACAGTCATTGGTGGAGACTCCAAATCATCAAATGCATCCATCAGAATGTAATCCATTACAACATCATAGAATGTAATGGCTTTCACTCCTCTTAAACTCAATTCTTGTTCCATTTCCAACCAGTGATCTGGATCTTGAAGGAAATCCAACATATCTTCATAGGCTATAAGAAAATCCTTTGGATCCTGAAACATTCATTATTTTCCTTGAAAATAGATGAGAATACAAATATATCTTTCTTCATGCTGATGAAGTAACAACACATCAGAAAATTATCATAACTTTCACATTAATTCAATTACGAAAAATATTTCTCTCATTGAGAAATTATTGAGTAGGAAAAGTAATATATGAAATTACCAATAAGCATCCAAATTTTTATTATCTAAAACTGTTTTAAATATTTTATTTTATATGGTGGCAAACAAACAAACTATTAAAATTCACATTTAATGTACCTAGTGATTAGTTTTGTATATTTCTATCCATAACTAAAAATCATCAAGCATTATATATTTCTGTCAACACTAAGGCATAATCAAGCTTTTTATGTGTCCTAACACATCTTCACAGTAGGGTTTTAACTATTCTCAAAGACTCTTAACCATATTCTAAACCTTTGGTCCATATTGGTTATGCAATATAACAAAAACCAAATATCTGATGCCACCATTATGTCAATGTTGTTCAATTCTGAATCAAATATACTTAAAATTAACTTCTTTTAAAAAGGTGTTAATATAAGAAGCCAGAAACAATTTTAAGAATGTGAAAAAATTAATTATTTTCTCACATTCTTTAATTTTTTGGGAGCTTAATTATTAAGAACCCCAAATCATTAAAAAATGGGTGAAAACAAGAAAAATACCATGGACAAAAACAGATCATTGTTGGGTTTGCAAAAACAGCCATTTACAATAAATGGTACCCAAGAGACAAAAAATCTCTAGTACTTAATATTTTTCTATGCATTATACCAGTTAATCCACAGTCATATTTCTTTCAATCGGAATTTGTGAGCAGTTAGCATCTGTGATGCATAAATAAAAAAATGTTATTAAAAAATCACAAAACTTTAAATGTAATGTGAACATGATATTTTATCTGACATACCTTGCAAAGTTATAAATCATATATTTTTTACATTGAATCCAAAATGTGATTTCATGGAAAATAAGTTCACTAATAAGTATTTACAAATTTTCAGTAGAAATTTATTTTAAAGAGCTAGTTATTTTTTACTTCAGTGTTTTGAAAATGATGATAATTTCAGTATTTACTACCAACTTCAAAAGTTACTAATCAGCAGAGGTAGGATTTATGAGGAATAACAAGTTAGGGAAAGAGAGAGAGAGAGAGACTAGAAATTAATAAAATAAAGCTTGGAGTAAAATATGTAGGCACAACTGAATGACACAATTAAAATAGGAGGGACAAATGTTTGAAAGTTAATCTGCCCTTTTTAGCAGTTAATATTGCTTTAAATTGGCTAAACTTCTGTTCAAAATAAGCTGTAGTAATCAAGTTCATCTTGAACCATGCAAAATATACTGGAGTTATATCAAGATCTACTTCTAAAGCTGATTTACCTCTTTAAATTACACTGAAGGTTAAAAATAATCTTCCGAGCTAAATTTTGAAAGACTATAATATGGTTGAACTATGCAAAAATATTAGAGCTTTCCTTAAATATGTGAAAATATGTACTATACCTGGAAATAATGACAAATAAGGATAATCATATAAGTTTCAAATCAATTCACAAAAGCTTCTTCATAAACATATGACAAAAGCCTGTGTGTAACTAATGAATAAAAGAATGTGTAATTACATAGAAATCCTAGCCCATATACTCAAAAATTTGGTGCAGATAGGATTTTCCTGAGGATGGGGTGGGGTAGAACCATAGGTGTACTGTCCAGCCAATTTTTTTTTTTTATTTTTTTTTTATTTTTTATGAGATTTTAGTGTTTATTCTGGCAATGAAAGTTTTTGTTGTTGTTCTTTCATTCATTTATCGTTGTACGTTTCTAATAAAGTGGGACAGTGAATAATTTTTGTGAGTGTTGAAAATATGTATAATATATAGTTTTTAATAGATGCATATCTTATAAATCTACAAAATGGATATTAGGCTACATATTTAATTGTGAATTTGTCTTTTTGGTTTCTGGGCGGACAGAGGAGATCTGAAGTGCTTGAGCAATGCAACTGTAGCAATTTAATTAATTCAGATAAATACAGTTAATTAATGCAATTTCTCACCTCTCTAAAGCAACTAGATAGGAAATTTACTTACATTCAATATCTAAATATGAGCCTTTAGCACTTTAGAATGACCATCTTGGATATCATTTGTATTTTCTTTAAACAGAACCTATTTCCCATTGATCATGATCAAAAGCAGTATCACTCATTTTGGTTTACATCTCTTATCCTTTAAAATAAGCATTTATTAACTCAAATTTGATCATCAATTCATTTGCAACATTCAGAATGTTCAGCATTTCACAACTTCTGGTCTGCAGACCACCAATAGTTCATGTAATAGGTCCCCCCTTCAATCAATGCCTCAATTACTTAAGACACGAGAATTTATTATTCTCCAATGTATTTACAATTGATATTTTGGTATTTAAAACAATGCTGTCATATGGCTTTGTACACAGGAAAAGTGTGGTTTTAAAATTCTGTACTCTTAGTCTAAATACTTTTTTAAAGCACAAGTGCCTTCAGAATATTTAAACCTTGATTTAGCTGAACAACTGTGGTCAATAAAATTATTTGAATTACTACCTTAGATACCAAAACATTTGTGTGTTCTCAATCATGCCCAAGTGTGGTACAGTAGTATAAGTTCTATTTTTTCTCAAGTAAATCTGAAAAACTTGAAAAAAAACGTTTCCTTATTATCTCTCTCTTTCTACTTTGTTCATCCTTTATCATTAGTTTTTTCCAGGACCGAAGAGAGAAGATTGCAGGCAGTACATCGCTCCAGGACCCCTGGATTTCTCAGGGGGCCATGGGGCTCGAGAATGCAATGAGGCCCAATAAATGCAATAATTTTAATTATAATTTCAACTTTTTTTACTATTTATTTAATTTTATTGTATATCACGTTTTTCTATTTTGAAGGTCAATATATTTTCAAAATTGGTCACGCGCGTCGCAGCCATTTCCTGAGACAACACGAATTCGACGTGGATTTTTTAATTTTTTTTTATTTTTTATTTTTACAAGGGCCTAATTAATTTCTTTGTGCCGGGAACGGATTTTTCTCTCAGCGTTCCTTTCTACCATTACGCTATTCCCAGGCTCAGCTTCTTACTTTGTCTGCATAAAGCAAGAGATCTGTCAGAATTTGTCTGCCAGTGTCAGCAAACCACTGCCAAGTTGAGTGATCCTTGAACAAGTACTGGAAGGCAAGACGAATGCACTGCAGCTTGCCCAAATACTCCACATCAGAGGAACATTTCACCATCTCAGTTCGGAGACACCTGCACAGAAGGATAACTTTACAGTAAACAAATATCACATACTAAGACAATATTTTACGCGAATACCTTTCGCCAATACCTTTCACAAATACATGGAATACAGTGAAAGTCTACTCAGCCAAAGTTCTACATTAACGCTATTAATAATTTAAAGGGTCGTTAAGTAAGTGGTGAACAATGAACCTTTCCGACAGTTAAATCCATGAAAAATAAGTTGTTTTTTAAAGTACTTGTATCGACTGCTGAGATCATGAATGTTACTCTTAGTATTGGAATATAAATCAAGTAAAAAATGAAGTTATAAAAATTTGTATAAGAAACTTCTCATAACATAAAAACTATGTCCATTCAATTTCACATTTACCTTCATTATACCTACATTTCGAATTTTATCACTGCCCTCGATGATGAGATTGAATCCTGTGTTCATTAATGCTTGGAACCAATTCTAATATTTAAGAACTAAAAAGCAGAAAGATATTTTTCAAGTAAATTTGAAATCGAAATTAATTTTTTAATTTCTCATATCGCCCACGCGCGCCCCCTCCCCCATGACCATACGCAGGTTCCTGACCTCTCAGGCGATAACAAACTCCCTGTTAATTTTGAGAATAACATTCCACATCACACCACGAAGTCAGTAGAACATCTCCGGCAAAATATTGTAGAACAATATTTTTATAGACATACCGGCGGAAAGAGATGTGTAAGAAATCGTCATAACTAATTTAAGAAAATCAATGCGTTTAGAACGTTTTCTATTTTTCTGGTAAAAATTGCATGGAGATATAGTTTACAATGCAGTCGGTAAAGAGAGAAAAACTGTCTTTGACCGCGCAATAACCATCTTCCGCAAAATACCAATTTTTCGGAATGTTATTCTATTAGTGAACATCCAACATACCAAATTATCAAAAACATCTGTGTATTTACGTAAGATAATTTACTGATTTGTGCATTTATATAAGAAAATTCTTAATCGAAGTAGGACAGGTGAGTGACGTATTTCACATACAATAACAAAAAAAGCGACCGGTATGATATAAGAGGAGAAAATTCCACATATTTCGAATATATTTCGAATATATATCCAGACTTCCGTTCGGCATGTGAGACACCTAAGTTTTTATGATATTATTTACAGCTGTATGCATGCACTCTCATGTTTCGTATGATCAATTGCGCAATGCCGCATTCCAGCTGAACAAATCTTTTACATGCTAATAGAGCAACGCTAGAGCACACATTTCGCCGCCATCTGCGAGTCCGTGCGCACTGCGGTGCTTACCTGTAGGGGACGCCGGAGTCCTCGAGCTGGCGCAGCGCGGCCTGGTACAGCGGGAGGCTGTCGAAGTCCGGGAAGATGTCCGCGAACTCCTCGAACTCGCGCAGGTCGGCCACCTGGTACACGCGCACGCACAGCTCAGCGCACGCGCGCACGCACGCCTCCATGGCCCCCACGCACCCTGGCTCTTTCACTTCGCCACGGCAGCGAGAGAGCGAGTGGCTGGGCACCGTTTTCTCCCCCCAAGGACGCACAGAGTTCGTCTCTACTCGCTGGTTGTTTGTATTGCGAACAGAAGCGGCGAGAGGTTATATCTCGTATGAAGGCTGTTATGAAGTTTACTTTCATAAAATCCAAGGCAATAGAATACACTCTTTCGGACGAGGCGCCTCTACGGATTATTAGTAGCCCGAAAGGCGAAAAGTAAACCAGCTAGTTTCACGACACGAAGACAACTCATAACTCGATTGAACGCCGCCGCAACCAAGGAACTTCACCACATCGAACAGAAGCAAAACTAAATGTTGACCGCTTCCACAGATAGCGATACGGCCGAGTTTCCTAGTGTCGTCGCCGATCTCTGGGGCGAAAGGCGCGCCCTGGCGGGAGGCGGCCACTCGCGCCTGCGCCGACGCCGCTCTCGACGTCCACAACGTCGCCAAGGCCCCTCCAGCCCCTTACGAAAGCACGCTCTACCCTTGCACCTTATCGCGGGAGCCAAAAGACTAACTGCTGCCAACGTTGAGAAGGGGCGTGCGCTCCCGGAGGAAAAGACCGCGTGGATGTTTACTCCTTGTACAGCCACTTTTCTTACATGTACGAATGATTGTAAATATTTCATTCCACCGTATTTCGTATTTTCCACAAATTTTTATGGTAGAAAGTTGGCTCTCATTTCACAAACCCTCGCCGAGCAATTTTGTACAGTTGGAAAGACATAGGAAATGAATGAACCGAGTGCCAATGAAGAGTCGATAGGCCCTGCGGTCAGCGC